TTGAGCGATATCGCGAAAAGGCTTTAGGGCAACTGCACTAAAATTATATTATCATACCCTGCTGCTCGGGGATAAGAACAACAGTATGTTATAAAAGATATCCTTGAAAGTTTTACAACATATACAACTATTAATTTTGAAGATAACAATGCTGCTATGTTTAAAAAGCAGCGTATCAAAATGTAAATTAGCGTATAAAAATGTAAATTCTCATCATTAATGTGGTGTCCACTTCCTTGTCAGTATTTAAATATAGTCTGCTCAAAATTACTCTTAAAATAACTGCCTGTTTATAATTAAGGAATTATTTATGCCATTTTAAAAGTAAATGGAAATATAAGTGATTTTTCCGACCTCCCACCATCATGTACACGTCACTGGGAGAGGGAAGAAAACGTGTAGACATGATTACTGTAAATGTCACGTAAATGGGCAATTACACCCCCCCCCCCCCCCCCACACACACACACTAACAGGCTCACTATAGCCCGTGCTACGTTGAACGTTTTGGTCCGAGTAGCTGAATGTAAAACAACAATGGACAATGCAGACAAGGATAGCCAATTTTTCATGGGTGGTTACGAGCAAGACTGTTGGAAAGTGTCTGAATTATCCATGAAGACATTTAGAAATATTTTTAGTATTTCGTGAAAAACTGGAATGCATCAGTAAGAGATGATTGTGCTGTACACTACTTTAAATGAGGTACATTAGAGCCCAACAGGCTGGGGAACCTGTGTACTCGCAACTAGACACCCCTTTGGACTCTGATTAAGTACTTATTTTGGAATTTAGGTTGAGACAGTATACTAACTAAAGTAGCGGTTAATTAAATGATTTGGCCTCCGCTAACGGGAGGGGCTGAAGTCACGTTGACAAGTTATTAATGGCACGCTTTATAACGGGAAAAATCTAGGACCTTGGCTCCTAATCTGGTGCAAAAGGCAAATGTTGACAATGTAAACAAAGGCGGGTGTACCAAGGGAAGGTGGTGAGTTAGGAGTGGCCTCGGCGGATCATTACTGGCCGACGCGCCACCTACTCCACTTGGCGTTTATTACATTTCCTCCCCCAGCTCTGCCGCCTTAGTGGAGTGTTGTCGACTGGTCCGCCTTAGTCTTGCGAGTGGGGAAGATGTAGAGGGCTCAGACGTGCCACAATGGACGAAGCGCATTGTAAGATGTTTTGTGGCGGCGAGGATGGATGGCCTGGAAGTTACTGTGCTGGAGAGGTTCAGAATAGCTTTTGCCTCCAGTCTCCAACTCACTTTTCTTCCATTCGAAGGAAAAATGGAGTCGATCTCCTTCCTCTCAAAAGTTCCGACAAGAATTATTAATAATTGACAGCGGTAGCAGAGGTTGGAGGAGTTACTTGATCGTTATGTTAGGCTATTTGACGTAGTGGACTACTTAGTCTCATAAACCAACAGTCACCAGGAAAGGCTGTCCCCCAAGGTCACTGATAGACGTATTGAACTCTACAGAACAAATCCACAAGGGCCGTTACGAGGATTCGAACCTGCGCCCGGGAGCATCCCAGACACTGCCTTAATCGACTGAGCTACGATAGGGTAAAAGGGTTCATGTTCAAATTGTTCATGTTCATTTGATGCATCACGTTAGTGTGATCTGTGTGTATTGAACTCTGCAGGTATGCAAGGAAGCTATCTTGAGGATTGGTAGAGGTTTGTCAAGGGCAAAAGATTACTCGGGTAAGGGTATTTATTACGCATATTTATATTAGTTTCATAGCTTTGTCTTATGGACAAGGAGAACGTTCTTCATACGTTCTCACTAGACATTGTGAAGATGCTTTATTTGATGGATGATTGGGGGTGTAAGAGGTTGGCCTCAATAAATTTTAAACCCGGTGAATGTAAATAATATTGGTGAATTGTATAATATTTTTACATTTATTTAAATTGATTTAATAGACTAAAAAGTTTATGAAATGGAAACGTTACGGGTTGGGATTTATTGGAAGCATTGGTAATAATAGCACCATTAGTGTCAAGAATTCATTACAAGCTATATCGAATAATCAATTTAATGGTGGATTATATTCATATAATCGTGACAACGAGCAACGGGGGGTTGGGGGGTAGGAGGGAAGTGCTCATATGGGGGGAGGGAACGGGAGGGTGCAGTTGGACAGAGCGAGAGATAACCAAGCCGCACCTGCAACACATCACACCCTTCCCAGAAATGCTCCCGTGGTCTCTCATCCCATCCCAACCACCCCCGTCCTATCCTCCTCCTCCTCTTTTTGATGTGGTCGATCCTACCAATATGTAGTAATGGAACCCCGGTAAGCATTTTTGTGTATACGGAGAAAACGAAGCAAAAAAAAAACCGAACTTAATATTCCTAGGCCTAACACACAATGTAGTGTGCATTAAGCCTAGGATGGTTAGGTTTTAACACTTTCCGGTTTGTCCAAATTTAATAGTACAAAAGTCGACTATTTGCTGGCCCAATAACGACATATTTGTACATTCCACCACATCGGTACTTTCCGGTACTAAAAGTGCTGTTATTTTAGGAGGCTGGGCAGCTCGACCTGTGTGCTCCCCGCAGCTCGGGTTCTTGATGTCATGGGTACTACTAATAATGGTGGTGTAAAGGGTTATCTAAAGATTTGTCAAGGATGTTTTTTTTGTTCAGATATCGGCGATGGGCCGCGACATGCTGACAGAATTGACAGTTCAGTCAATATTGCGGGACGTTGGGCGGACTGAAGGAGTGCGAGGACCAAACATGAATAAGCCGTGCTTGCAAGCAAAAGTTGCAGTTGGGTGCATAATGATCATTGTAGGCAGGTATTGACAGCTACGCTGTAGGATATACTGAACCGACGCTGACAAACGTAAGTGGTATATAGTGGTCGCGAGAGGTAATTTATCAACGAATCCCCTAGGAGAGGAGAGACTGAACTGCACATAGCCGAGGACGTGCTTAAGACGATAAAGACGATAAAGTGGTGGTGGTAGCGGGGTAGAGGGACGGAGTGTGATGGTACACACTCCCTCCCTCACATAAAGGAAGACGGGTAGTGTGGGTGGAGAAGGGACTAGTTTGAGTGGTGGTGGTGGAGGAAGGAAACAGCGTCGCCATGTTTCCTTGATAAGTTTGCGTTTTTCTTGAAGGTTCCGGAAGCGTGCTTCCTGAAGGGAGGCGAGACGAAATGTACTAATTGTCTAAAAGAGATGGGACAACTACGGCAAATTAGCGAAAGCGGCGGCCTTGGGAACGTTTCATAACTGGATAAAGTTATTAGGTTTCCTAAGATGGCTCTGCGAGGATGCCCCGCCACCCTCTTAATATCAACTACCACCCACACTGGCTCTCTAAACCCACTAGTTTTGTTTTTGCTCTAATTGGCGTCCACCTATCTCTTTTAATTTGTATTATTTGGGAAAGGTTCATTGTTTCCTTTAGCCTGGGGTTTAATTGCTCGTTTGCTGTGTTATAATTTTACACATTTGTTTGTGCAAACATTTTGCTGATTCCTATAAATTTCCAGGAACTATGATTTCTAGAAATCATGAGGGTAAGGGAAGACTTAGCTGTAGTTTGTATTCGCTGATGTGCAGATCAAACCGAAGTTTTCCGAAGAATAATCATGGGGCAATGAAGCATAAGTTAGGCCAGATAGCCCTGTGGTGACTGTAGGTGCCGTCTAGCAGTAGTGCCACATGGGTGTCCCGGTAACTTGGGTCGATGCTCACTCACGGAGTCTTCGATAATTACCGTTGGTCTTTGTAGGGTGTTGATATATTGCACAATGAAACGACAAAGACGGCGGAATAATTATGGATATCATTTAGGGTCAATTGAAGAAAAAATGGAAAAAGGAGTGGAAGCGAATAACTCTTAGACTGGGAGGCAGGAAATGTGCATTATCAAAGGAAATGAGGACGGCTTTGTATGAGTGAGACGGTCGAGTGTTTTATTTTTTTTCTGGCGGGCATTATTCAGTTTTTAAGACATCTTTGAGGTGATGGGTGTTAGCGCGCATTCCCCGCAGTACAGTGGTAAGTGTTGGCTTACTCTCCCCCACTACTACTCCTGGCGATCGTTTTGGAGTCAGAAATAGAAGCAGGGGTTACCTTGCGGGGTTGTCCATCGTCTTGATGTTTACTCTCGCCCTTCACCCGCTGCGCATTTTCATGGTTTACTTGAAAACAATGATCAGGGTTAATTTGGGTTACAATGGCATTTTCTGACAGAAGAGGGGGGGGATGAGAGAGGAGTAGAAGGGGGGGGGGGAAGAGGAGGAAAAATGGGGAGAGGAAACGAGGGGGATGGGGGAGAAGAGAGGAAACGGGGGGGGGGATGTGTAAATTCTGAATAAGTGTGCTATACTATTACTTGTATGATATTTCTGATGCAGTGTTCGGGGTGGTGTTCGCCATGCTGGTGTGCGAGGCCGTGATGGTGGGCAGAGTAAAGGGTGTGGTGATGGTCTCCTAATGGCCATTGGGGAGGGGCGCTTCGCATGATGACAATTAGTGGCCTTTATAACTGAGATTTAACACGTATTAAGAATTAAGTGTGAAATGCAGGGGGGGGGGAGGGGGATGCTGGTGATAGTGTGGGTTAATAAAAGTCGTTGGAATAATCTTTCCTTCTGTACACTGCTCTTCTCGGTGGCTTGGGCAGACACGGTTAAGCCGCCTTAAAGCCTGCTAAGTGCTTCTCTCTTCCAGCATGTTGTAGATCTTGTCCTTCATATTTTAAGTAATAAAATACTGAAATTTTAGCAGGAAGTTCAAGCATGCTAGTGCTCTTTATTTTGTCTCCAGTAAAATTGAAAGCATGACTCTTATAGTTAGCAACCTTGAATAGTTTAATGTAATTTTGTACCCTAAAAAGTTATTATTAAATGTAGATAATGTCAGCTTGTGGACGAGGCAGTGGACCCACCATTAATATTTTGGTCGCCCTGTCTGCCAGCCTCGACTTGGTAATCATGCTGACCCTATTTTCTTTTTTCCCCAGAATGACGCCTACGGCGGTTTCAACGACTATGACAACCAACCTAGAAGAAGGTACGTGGAGAACTTGTGGTTTGATCCTTGTAGAGTTAAGACGTCTCTAGTCTATATATAATGAAGGGTCATTCCAGGACAAAGTGGTCATTTGAAATGACAAACATAAGAACAATGGAAACTACAGATGACCTATTGACCTGCATTATTCGTCCTTTATTTTTTATTTAAGCTATTGTTCTTGATCGTCGAAGTGAAAGACAATGAAAAATATAATAGTGGCCTTGGAACTATGTTGCTCAATTTCAATACCTGCCAAACATCTATCCACAAATGGAAATTTTGTACTGTACTCATTAAATTAAAATATCTAGGCAAATCTTGCATATTTTAACATGTTTAGTGCAAAGAAGTATTGGTAGCAGGTTATAATAGCTTATCGTTATGTAAATTAAGTTTAAATGTATAGTTAAATTACCTAAATAGCACAAGAAATCACACTAACGTATGGATGAGGAAATTGATAGGAGCCATGATGATGATTCGAACCAGCACACTTGTACTCCCAAGCTATAGGCTGCGTATCCACATGGTAAAAGCAGTGCAACGTTGGATTCAACTGAATCCTTTAGGGGTTCAGAGGCTTCCACTGAAGGCCAGTCAGGGTCTCTCACATTGCCCCGCGTCTAGGAATTGCATCGCCAGCGTGGTGAAGGCGGCGTGTACTTGGCCAGTACCCTGTGTGTGCAGGTTCGAATCCTCCACATGGTTCCTACATATTTTGTCACTATGCTTTATTTGACTTTCGGTGTAATTTATGATATCAGAGAGACATTATCTTATCTCATTTATATATAGAACATGGCTTATTTGGAATTCCCTGTGTAGGGTGTACGACCAACATTATCCTCGCTGTGACTATTGAATATTATCACGGAATTGATTACTTTCTGGATCACGACGAAATTGTTAATGGAAATCCGAGATGGTAGGATGTTAGATTTGCATTCTTCATTGTCACTTCCTGGAATGACCCTCGAGGTGCCTTGAGGTGCTTCCGGGGCTTAGCGTCCTCGCGGCCCGGTCGTCGACCAGGCCTCCTGGTCGACCCTGGCGTAACAGAGAAAGGAAATGTTTGTCACATTTAACTGGTAGTGGGGGGGGGGTGCTGTATTGCTGTCTAGCGAGGACCGTTTAGCGAGAAGCACTTGACAAATAAGGTGTTCCCCTCGGCACTTTTATACTGTACAATATGGAGTGACGAGATCTGGCAAGGTCACACAGCAGGGGATGAAGGCTTACCTGAAGACGGTCACTACAAGAGATCAGCAGGAGCTTAGCGGACCACAAGTTTAATGGATGTTCAAGGCTCCTGTAATTTATAACGGCCCTTAAATTACTGGCATTATGCAATTTTGTATTCTCGGGTATTTAGTTTGTTACTGTTGAAATAAAATAGTCCTGGTTGAGTGAAGCGAACATAGTATGTTTTAAGCATTAGTTGAGCATCTGGCCGTGGCAGCTAATAAAGACATGGTTTTAATATTTAGATTTTATAAATGGGTCTGTCTTTTTTTTAACTTGAAAAAAATCAAAGAGCGAGTGCTGTGAGTTGAAGCAGGAACTATAAAAGGCACTATCAGGTTGTGAAATGTGGCGAGTAAAACATAAAGCTGCCATAAAGCTGGACGATGAGGGACCAGCCACCTTAATGGTGGAGGGAGCGGGGCAAGCTGCCCCCCCCTCTCCCTACCATCCCCTACCACCCCCTACCACCGCCATCAGCCTCTCCCTACCACAGCCACCCCCACACACGCACAACCAACTGACCTTAACCGAAGCACTAGTTTTGGACGTCAATTTGTAGCTTGTAATGACACGGTGAAATGTCATAAATTAAGGTACTAGAGTAGCAATTGCACGGGACGAGTCAAAATTTATAATCACTTGTATTGACTGATTTGTTCAGAATAATCATACTCATTCGTATTTAGTCTACAGCAGGCTAAAATATACAAGAGGAAATATTCTAAAATTTGTTGGTCAGATGTCCCTGACAAGTCTATTAGCTCTCCATTATTTAATAGTGATATGTAAAAAAAAAAAAAATAGCGTTAAAATTATATTCGGTGAATTTGAAAACAAAACATTGATTTTGGTAAAAATCTACGTGGATGTATGAAAAGAATAAGATATACAACGATTTATTCTTCTGGGTTTAAAATAGCAGTGCCTTAAATCTTGAGTGGCTGGGAAGGGTGTGTGCGTGTGTGTAGGTAAGGTCACATTACCATTGTTGGGTTTGGGTGGACAGCCTGGCAGGGATGCTACCAACATTGTAGGGCTGCCTTAAGCCTCCCGTTCTGCAGATTATGTTAAGGAGTCACTGTTAAGGCAAGCCAATGTCCCCTTGCCTCGCCGCCAATATCTGCTTGAGTGAGTTATACATAATGTAGCGTGCGGGGTTAGGCGTGGGCACGAATACATGTTTAATGGATAAAATTAGGGTAAAAGGAAATTTGGGGGGTTCATCGTTAATTTACATAATTAACAAGGCGCCGAGTTTGTGATATCGATTCCTGTGACAGCTTGTTTTTACTATTAATGGGTTTTTATTAGTAATTAATTGTGAACAAAATTTGTACCCTTAATATCATCGCTGATAATGGCGAGTGGGTAATTTCACTTGTTAAACGAATGGGGAAGGCTGTTCATAGGCCAGGAAGCGGGAAACACGGTCATCAACAGGTGAACATTAAAATGAACTTAGGATACTGAATAATAAATATAAGGAATGTAAGATGGGGGCTAAGAAAATAGAGGATGAAAATGAGTCGCAAGAACATAATGAAATTGGGGGGGGGGTTTCAAGGTTTCTGCCTTGTCATGACTACCTTGTAAAATTGGGTGGCGAGGCCTATCTGAGGGGCGGCGAGGTGTCCCGGGGTAGGAGGAGCTTGTGTGTGGCGCGCTGACCACTCATGTTTTATGCGCCTTCACGTCCTGTTTTTCTTCTTGAGCCAGTTAAAGAGAGTAGTGGTATGAGGAGTCATGTTAGCTTCCACATAACGACCTCTGTATAATTCTTGTTGACGTTCTCAGTGTTTGTCTTCCCTGCCATCTTGTGTATAGTTTACTATCATGCTGCGTGCTCAATACCTCCCCCATCCCACCAGCGTCTTCCTTTCTGGGTACGTCGTGCCTCCACGTACCCCACATCACTATCCTGCTGGTATGTCCTGCTGTTATTCCCCCTTGCCGGCATGTCCTGCTACTATTCTCCCTTGCCGGCATGTCCTGCTACGCCCTTCCAGACACGTCTCCCCCACGTTTTTCTTGTTTCATAGACTCGATTATGACAGTGAAGGCGTCATCGTATTAGGGGTTTTGGTAGCTGCCTTACCTACCTTACCTGCCTTGTGATTTGTCATGTTCCTATTTGGCTATTTCCACCAGCCTTCCATTCACCTTCCATTCAATACACCCCTCGCTAAAATGTAAACCAACTAAGTTTGACAAAATATGGGTGGTATTGAAAATATAATTAGGATATGACCTACTAGTGAATATGGAGAGAGAATGAAGAGTGGAGGCGCAACAGAATGTTGGAGACTACATGAACATCAGAGGCTCGTGAGTCTTTTAACCTCCTTCCACCAAATATATATGAATAGCTTTGTTATAATAGATGTGTTGGCATACTGCATTAATCACAACTTGAGTGATAGAAGTTATCACTAGCCTTAATATCCTGTACCGTACCACAGGACCCTACGCCCCACAATACCAGAGGGGTATTGTGGGGGTATTATACCACAATAGTAGAGGGGCTGGTCCCAAACCTGCACACAAAAAATCATCACATGAGACCAGAAGGCATGGCAGGATGTGCAGAATACCCCCGTTGAAAAGCAGAGGTGCAACAGAGAACTCTTATCAACATCAGAGGCCCGAGACTGTTCAACACGCTTCCACTACACATAAGGGGCATAACTGACCGACCCCTCAGTGTTAGAGAGAGAGAGAGAGAGAACTGGATAAGCGCCTCCAAAGGATACCTGATCAACCAGGCTGTGATTCGTGGGTTAGGCTGCGAGCAGCCGCGTCCAGCAGCCTGGTTGACCAATTCAGCAACCAGGAGGCCTAGTCGACGACTGGGCCGCGGGGACGCTAAGCCCCGGAAGCACCTCGAGTAACCTCAAGGAAAGGTACCACCTCTACTGTATGCTGCGGCTGTCACAAATGTCAATTAATTCCAAAAGCAAGTTCCCTTGTCTGGATTTTGCATGTTGAAATTGAACTATTTTCATATGTAGATGATGGTGGGGTGTTGGGGTTGGGGATTAGTGGTGGTTGTGGAGGGAGAGCATACAGGTGGGGGTAGAGGGGAGAGTACACAGTAGAGTGAAGAGTACAGGTGCCATTGGCACAATCAGAGAACACTGAACACCAGGGGTTATCAGCTCTCCCTCAGGGGTTATCAGCTGAACACCCTCCCAGCAAGCATCGGAAATATTGCTAGAACAAGGGTGGATGTATTAAAGAGGCACTTAAATAAGTTCTTGCAAGAAGTGCCGGACCAACCAGGCTGAAATGGTTATGTGGGCCTGCGGGCCACTGCAACCAACAGCCTGTTGGACCAAGTTACCAAAAGTCCAACCTGGCCTCAGGCCGGGCTTGGGGAGAAGAACTGTCAGAAGCATCTCTAGGTATGCGTACAATTGAAGAGCGAGGTGCGCGTGGGAGGGGGGGGGGGTGAAATAATGGAAGGGGACCAAAAACTAGTCACTTCCAAGCCGCTAATATACATGTGCTGTACTTTTAGATGTTCCTTTCAACTGTGATTGCCGCAGCTGGTATTTACCCCTGCCTGCATGGTAGGTATCTCCAGTACTTCAGACCGTTATGATTTCCTTACAAACTTACCGTTCAATAAGTTGACCTGAAACTTGATACACTTTCACGATCATAAAATCTACCCATTTAGCAGATTCAAAGAGGATGTATAGATTGCATATGCAACAAAGGTTCCTTTACACTTGAGGACACGGTGATGCAAA